TTAAATGAAAAAAATATTAAATCTTTTAAATTTAAGAAAATTCGATACAAAAATGGGTCCACAGGAAGTGCTTAACTGCTGAAGCATTGTTTCTTTAAAGTGTTAATAAGTCAGGTGAGGAGGTCACTGTGATATTAGGAAGAAATGGTATTAATTATCATTAATTAACTAACATGCTAGGATACCAAAGAGCGCAGACCAGATGTCAAATACTTTATGGAAAGCTCTGATACAGCTTTTCCTCCCGCATTCATTTGCATCATACATCCAAAACTTGAGTCTGGTTTAAATCCACGGTTAGATTTCTGGACAATTGCTTCCCCAGACCATCCTCAAATTGTGCTGCAAGCAGCACAAAAAGAAAAGAGCAGGGGAAAGCGAAGTCTAACAGAGCTCAGAGATCTCTCAGTAGCACAGAGACGGGGCTGTGATTTGGAATGTTGATTATCCACACTTGTGCTTCTACACTGAATAGAGAACTCAAAATTTAAGAGATTACCTCGTAGATGATGATAAGAGCACATTTTCTTCCTCTGCAGACAACATTTGTGCTGTGGCGACCATTATGGCTGGTGCTTTTATCAGTGATTTAGAATGGAGCTGTCAAAAACTTTAAAAAGCTTCTATTAAAGTAATGTGGTTTTATCTATATAAAACCTGTGAGATTTATCAGGGAAGTCAGTTTTGGCCTCCTTTTCTAATAAGTGTGTGCAGCTGCACAACAGGGCAGTGAGCTCTCCAGCCTTTCAGGAAGTCAGGCATTCGATTAGCAGCCCAGATTTGAGAATCCCTAGAGAGTTTTCTCTCGAGAGCAAAGCTATGGATATCTGGAAACCATTCTTTTCTTGCCGTTTATGAGGATAACAGAGTTGCTTGTTTGCAGTGAGGTGGCTCGGAGTAGCTTAGCACTAGGAAGGCAAGACCCCTGCTTCTATTCGCCTGCAGCATGCAGATGTGTGCCTTTGATTGCAGTGTTTGCAAATGCGCCTGAATATTAAAAATTAAAATGAAATAGTAAGTTTAACGGTGCCTGCTTCCAGTTTATTGGTACTGAAGTTGTTATGTGGTATTGCTAGTTTTAATGCTCTGCTTTTGTTGTCTCTTTTAATATAATTTCAATGTATGACAGTGAAACTTTCTTTTATCCAGCTGGGCATTTTCAACTGATGTATTGATTCCTGCTATGAAAGCAGTGTTAGCTGATTCTGGCTGGAAGCAGTAGCTTTGAAGCTTGAGAGGAGGAGAGCCCCAGGAGATCTATGTTACTGCCTACCTGGTAGCCAGAATAAGAGCTAATAGAATAGTTTGGATATCTCCGCAGTATTTCCATTGCCCCCTTTTTGCCTTCCATCTAGCACTTCTTTTCGGAGAAGTACTCCTCTTTTCTTGCTTGTAATCACAATGCTGTGTATTGCAAAATTGTCGGTCGTAACAAGCTGCAAATGGTTGACCCTGCTCGGCATCGAAACAGAAATGGGTCTGCAGCTGAAGTGCTTTTGCAGACCAAAAGGGCAGATCATACTTATGGAGTTTATTTTGAGTTAGAGCTCGGCTGCAATCTTAGGGGTCACGATCTGTCACGGAAAGTTATCATCTGCTGAGCAAAGTTGAATTACTTTTGCTCTTTTAGGAATTATTGTGGTAATGCACATGGTTTGGCCATCATGCTTGCTACCCAGAATTCCCCCAGGAATGTGGTTTGGTTGTAGGATCATTGGCTTTTTGTTCCCATGAAAAGGCAACCAGGAGGGAGCCTTAGTGCTGCTGGTAGCAGGCACGTAAGCCCTCGATGTGCCTTACAGCAGCTCGCTGTTTAATGCAGAGAAGCTGATACCTGGAAATGTCCTGAAGGCAGTTCAGGAAAATTCTGCTCCTAGGTAAAATAAATAAATAAATAAATAAATAAATAAATAAAGACATGAGGAAAAAAACATAACCCGGAAAACAAAAATATGGCAGAAAAGCAAAACAAAAACTGTGCTTGTCTGTTTACTAGCTAGGGTTGAATTGTGAATCCTGCAGTTGTGGAGGGACTGGATCAAAATATCTGGATCAAAAAATGAGACGCAGAGTAATCATTTGGTAAAGAAACAATTTCCCAGAGTATCTTCAGTGCAGAGTAATCTTTGAATCTTTGAGAGTGGCCTCTCTTTTGGCCACTTGACCTTTGGGAGTGCCCGATTGACCACTACAGATAACGGAGAGCCTGAGAAGAGTGAGGCTGAAGGATGACGGTCACTGAGTCAAGCAGGTAGGGCACAGAGGTACGAGTGCTGCATCAGGTGGTGTGAGCTAGGGCACAGGGGAAAAAATGCAAAGTAATGCAATCAGTAACTCATTCTGTTTCACCAGAGAGTAGTTTTTTAGACAGAGGGAATAATGACAGCAATGCTGGCTCAAATACTTGTTTCACAGGAAAAGAAGGCAGTATTCGAGCAGGAGATTAATGGTGTTTTAACGTGAACACAAATGGGATATCTGTTACATTTCAGTTGAATGCTCATGAATGTGCCATTGTGCTTCCGGAGACATCTGAAAAGATTCCAAAAGAAAAAAGACAAAAAAAAAAACAACATTAAAAATAAGAAGTAAAATTTCAGGTCATTAAAAGGGTGAGTTATCCTCATGAAAGGAAGAAATATGCATTAATGGCTAAGTAGAAAAGCTAAAATGTGAACGAATAGAGGCAAAAGAGTATTTGTTATTAGGTTTGGTGTGCATCAAAGCTGTTGCTCATGATAAAAACTGCATGTAGCAGTGGAGTAGGTATGGGAACAGTCAAGGGTGAAACCAAGAATGTCTTCAAAGATGAGCAAGTTCTCTGATTATGGAAGGAGTTCATTTGTCTGGCTACTAATGTCCCTGGGAGCTTCCTCTTCTAAAAGAGAGAGGTTTGTGGGCTCACCACATGCACAGAGGGTAACAAAGAGAACAAGGCTGTCCTTTGGACACTGCAGGGATGGGGAGGTAGGAAGAGGGAACCCTTGGCCCATGTCTAGGCTCAAAGGAGATTTTATTATGTTTATATGATGATTTATATACGCCTGTGTATTACACAGAAAACTTTTTCTATAACTGGCAAAGACGGACTTTTATGATTGTATACAGCAGAAAACAACCGCTTCTTAGGTAAGAAGGCATGTGGCACATGCCAATAGGAGGGTCTGCCACAGTTTTGCATGTTTTTGTCAGGAAAAAAAAAAAAAAAAGCTTCCTTTTGTTTGGCAGCAATGTAGATTACTATTGCCAAAGTGAAGTGTCAGAATATGAATCTGCAGATAGCCTCTTAGTAAAGGGTATCCAAAACGGCAAACTACAAGTTTTTATTGCTAAGGTTTAGGTTTAAGTTAAACAGGCTTTTTCTTACAGCTCCTACTACACCCTCGATGAGGACACATAGTGTTGCTGAGAAACCTGATTATCATTTTAGAAATCAGCAAATAAAGACCAGAGAAGGTTTAAAATATTTTATTAAGACTTCCTATAACAGCAGGATTGGGGAAAGTCTTCCAAAGCACTGACAGGGCATCAGTAAAGACTGCAGTCTGTACGGCTGGTGGGTGCTCCTGCTGCATTAGCGAACATTAATAGCATCCTAAGCAGCCTACATGAGGACAGTTTAAATTGTAAGCAATTCATAAATTGGTGATATTTGTAAAGATTATTTGCTTTCGTGTCTAGCAGTGGGAGCCTGCTTTGCTGCGAGTTTGCCAAATGATTCGCTGACCTCCTCATTGTGAGCAGTGAGCGTGCCAGATACCCGCAGTCCTGCAATAATAGTGGGTTCGAAACCACGAGCAAGGTTTTGTTTCCCTCCTGCTTGCTGAAGGTGCCAGAACTTTGCTTCCCGCAGAAGCACTGGTGAGCCATTACTATGCTAGGAATTTTTCACACCAATCTTCCCGCAACAATGAGCCTGTTAAAGCAGGGACAGGGATCCGCTGCTGGCTGTTTCCAATCTTTTAATCGATCTCCCCTGTCCAGCTAAACAAAGGACCAGTCTGACACAGACAGGTGAGGGCTGTGTATGTGAATACCCTGACAAAAAGTAAAATGACTGCGGCGCTATCTTTCTTTGTCAAAGGGCTGAGAGGTGTTAAGCAGACAGTAAACCTGCCTCAGCTGTAGCAGCTCTGAAGTAAAGGGCTTTGTTAACTGTCTGCGGAAAAAGCAGAGTGCATTTGAATGCAACCTCCTTGAGCCTGCAGGAGTAAGCTAGAAATGACAAGATTGCTATTACGCATCATACAGACCAAAGGCTTAGCAGAAATCGAAAAGTATTAACATTTCATAGAGCTGGAAAGAATATCAAGAGCTGCTGTTGTTTCCTGAAACAAAAGTGGATTGGAAGAGAGATGAAGCCACCTGCTCGTATAAGCTGCTATATAAACCAGCCTTTTAGTGATGGAGGGTAGGAGGAGACTTGCACACCAGGAATTACTGCTAGAGAACTTCTTATTCCAGGCTATATCTCAAAAAGAGATGTGAGGCAGAGCCAGAAATAGGCACAGTCTTAGAAGTTATGGGACACTTTTTTGTTTGTCTGAAATGGTTCTTGCACCCTGAGACTGTTTCAAAAGGGAGCTGACAACCTGTGGACATTGCCACTTGTGGATGCCTCCCTCCAATGCAGTCACCATTGGGCCAAGCCAACAATTCCCATTTCAACCTGGTAGCTGGAAAGGAGACAGTCTGCTTTCTAATATTCAGCACATTAAAAGTTTGCTGTTGACTGGATGTTGTGGTAGTTACTCTTTTTCCCAAAGTGTGACGTGATTGAAGTGTTTTCTGACTTTCACTAAATCAACAGAGCAAGTGAAGCAGCTCCGTGCCCACATAACAGCAGCTGCCCCTGTTACGGGGTGCCAAGAGCTGTTTGCTGTCATGCCCTAGCTGAGTTTTTGTTGCTTTCCCATTTGCTTTTGTTGTTGGAAACCTTCTTGATACCTAAGGCTCACAGGGCTCTAATCTCACCTTCCTCTCTCCCCCTGCTCTCTTAGTGTCTACCAGCTGGTTGTCAAGGAGGAGAAGCTGCAGAAAGCCCGGAGAGCTGCGGACATCATTGAATGCTTCTCTGTCCCCGTCAGCTACAAGAACGCTTCCAGTCTGGACTCCCCGCACTACTTTGCAGCCGAGCTGAAGCCCATCAACCTGCCCGTCACGCAGCCATTCACGGTGGGCGACAACAAGACCTACAATGGCTACTGGAACGCCCCGCTTTCTCCCCTGAAGAGCTACAGCATATACTTCCAGGCTCTAAGCAAGGCAAATGGAGTAAGTGCAGAAAAAAATGAATCTGGATCTGTACAAATGGTTACCTCTACCCTCCCCACCTTTCTCCTTCCCTCTCCATCAGATGCCAGTTTAAATCCTCATTACCACCCTTTTGCAGAAATTTGATGAAAATTAAATGTGCTTCATTCATTCATGTGCCGTCCTTCATTCGAGCCTCTCTGTGATGCCTAGATGCAATGAGAAACCTGTAGGGGAGCCAGGTGATGAAAAGGGCGCCTGGTTTATGAAGTGAATTGTTTAGATTTTTTTTTTCCTTGCAGTTGTATTAATGTTAGAGTAGGGGCTATTGTCCTTATGAAAAAAGATAACTGCTCCATCCTGGCAATCATCAACTCACCGTGCTTGTGATTTTTCAAGAAAAATCGAAGAACTACCCAAATGAGAAACGAGAACTACCCAAAAGCTATGAAATTGGATTACCTTGTAGCTTGTGTTTGGTTGCACCGTAACTTTGCAGTTATGGTTGAGATTTTCAGCTTGAGTGAAATGTAAGTCGCACTGCAGAGGGAACTATGTACATGTCTTTCTTAGTCCCTTGGGATATCCTTGACTATATTTTTACATATACTTATTCTGTGATATGAAGTTTAAAGCGGAGACTTTATAGGATCACAGAATGGTTTGGGTTGGAAGGGACCTTAAAGCCCATCCAGCGCTGCCCCCAGCCCCATCCAGACTGGCCTTGGAAATAGTCTGCTCTGTTCTCAGACTCAAATGCCACACACATCACGCCCAACAAGTACAGTCATAGGAAAACTGAAGGGCTCTTTTCCCACTTAAATTCTTTTATTGCAGCCTAAAGTAGTTTGTGACCTTCTCTTTTAACTCCCCTGCTGCAGGTCTGCTCTGCTAATGGTGTACAGGCCAGATCCAGTCCAGTCATTCTCCTTCCTCCCCTTTGACTCCCCTAATCGTTTTTTGTTAACACATACATGCTACAAATTGACACTCCAGCCTTCTGAAGAGGCAGCATTATCCTGTCGTCAGGACGTTGGGCTGCCGACTGTGTCATTAGCACATTTGCCAAGTGCGTTCATGAATCCAGTTTTTACCTGGGTAAATTCTCTAAGACATCACCTCTGAAAGAACAAAATTAGAGAAGTCAGTCAAAGGTGAATGGTGTAGGCTTTGATCTCGACTTGGGATAGTGTCTTTTATGCCCAAAAGACAGCCACACATCACAGAGAACTGTGCGCTGTTTAGCAGGCTAGCAATGCCAATGAGTGCTCACAACATATCTTGCTGTTTTACTGCCTCCATTTATCACTATTCTCCTGCAGAGTTTCTGCTGTGTGGCTGACAAGCACAAATCTCTTCAATACTGTGCTGTTTTTCACCTTGGTTTCCCTTCTAGTTGGTACGGTTTCCATTCAGCACTACTCAATTAATTCAATTTTGGATTTGCCTTTATAAAGGAAATTGTGAAATATATGTACATGTCTCTCTGTGTCTAGTTAGTTCCCCCTTATGTGATAGTTAATTGCTAGTGAATGGATCCCCAGGGAAGGAAAAAAACCCTTTATTTGCTCAAGTACAATATAATATGCCATAACTGGGTAATATGAATGGAAATGTAGGCTTCCCTTGGCATTCTGGATTAAGGCAGCAATAATGTGCAGCTCCTGCTTTTTCTGGAGCTCTGTAGCTGACAGGTTGCACCACGCTGTATGTACAAGGTCATAAGGACTCAGAAAAGTGTGGCTTGCTTGGGCTGTTCAGACAGGAACATAAGGCTGTAAAGGACCTTTTAGGCTTAAGTAATTAAGTCTATATGCAGCAATTAATAGCTTGTGAGGGTATGGATAAGAAGTACAACAAACCCATACACAGTTGAGCAAGCAATTGAGTTACATACAAAGTTGAGCAAGACAAACCCATACACAGCTGAACAAGCAATTGCCTCTTGTGTTACTAATTCATATTAGTGCAGTATATGGGTACGTGTCCTCGAACTGCAGTGGTACTGGGAAAAATAGAGATGAATTGTCCCAGAGTGCAGGCTGAGTCTGCAGATGAGTAGCTGTGGAACCTCATTTCTCCTGGCAGAATCCTTAAGGCCCACATTTCAAACACTTGGGCCTGATTTGCATACAGGGTTTTGCAGCCATAAATAATAAGTTTGCTTTCATTCCCAGAGCTGTTTACAAGTATATGATGTATTTAAGAGTTCTGGGTGTTCAATTAGCTCAACAACCTGAGCTATTTTGACTGTAGTCTTCATAAAGCCTACCAAAATCTGTGGCTTCAATAAGGCTTTTTTTTTTTTTTTTTTTTTTTTTTTTGCACATCTGCAAAATATCTGAGATAGTGACAATTTAGCACAATTAAAATACAGCCTTATGTTCCCTTGCACATGAAAAACTTAATAGAACATTGCCACTCGATTTTTAATTAGGACGTTGCATAGTTTCATTAATCACTGACAGTCCTGGAATGAAGAAACTTCTTTCCCCACCTGGAACTTGCAATGAGAAGTCTTCGTGCAGTGAACCGTAACGTCTTCCTTTGGAAATGTAGGGCTCCAGGGGGAGCTTAATGTGAGGAAACATTCTGTGTTTGGTCAAAAAGCTTGATTAGGAGGAGGTAGTGGTGTTACGGGGATTCTGCATTGTTTCATCTCCTCCGTACGTGGAGGGTTGTGCTCATTTGGTGTTCTTGTCTGCTCTGTAGCCATTAGCCATGATTGTTGCATTGAAAGGAACATAATTAACAGCTGGATGCAAAACAAGTGTAGCAAATTGCTGCAAAATCAGATCACGAGCTTTCCTGCCTTCTCTTGTGCGGTGTTTACTTGTTTTTTTTTGAGAGCCTGAATAAGATAGCTGTAACTTGCTGAATTCTGTGGACAGTTGCATGAAACGTGGTCAGCGTGGTGTTGCTTCCAGACAAGGGTCCGAATAGAGAATGTGTGGACCAAAGTAGTTTTCTGCTTTGTTGTACAAAACTCTTCCAAATCCTGTGAATTTCCCTTCTGGGCTGTGAAAGCCAGATGCTGAACTGAAAAATGTCAGAGTTTAAGAGGGGGACAAAAAAAAAAAAAGTAAAAGTAAACAGAAACTCTGGGCTTTGCAGCAGGGTGGATGAGAAGCACAATTAGTTCCTGGTTATTTGTTAGGAGCAATTAGTACATGAAGGGACACAGAAGGAGCAGACAACTGGCCTTGCCGTCCTCTGGCAGGACCTGCACACACGCCGTCCCCTCCATCCAGGTAGTTAAGGGACGTTTGCTGTTTGAGTGCCACCTGCTACAGATGGCTGGCTGACAGAGCGTGAAGCTGCCCGTGCCTGTAAAACCTCCCCATACTCAGCCCCTTTAAAGCACCAGCCCTTGCAGTGTTTGTCCTCTGAAAGGTGAGGCTTGGGTGGCAACACCCTGACACCCCTTATCTACTCTTGTCCGGATACAGGCTTAATAGTCAAAGCTGAATGTTGCCCATGTTTCTTATCTGAGCTGTTGTGGGTGGCCGTCTCTGGTTAGCAATCCAGCAAACACACTCAGGTGGGGAGGATTTTTCGCTGCTCTGAAGCCTGCCTGAATTTTTGAGCAGCTCAGAAAATGGAGCTTCCTAGAAATCCTTTCCCTAGTTGCTGCATTTTACCTCATTGAGTTAAAATGAAATGGCACAGTTGCAATCAATAACCTTTGGCCATTTTTCCTCGAAATGGGAGATGCGGCAGGAGCCTTTGTAACGCAGCTGGAGATGATGTGGAGGATGATGCCAGCTGCTCCTGCAGCCTGGTGGTCCAACAGGTGAATGATGTTTTCAGGCCAGAATTGTGAAAAGTAGCTCCACAGGAATCAATGAGAATATTATTTTTGAAGGAATGATAGACTCTACAGAGTTTCTCATTGATTTTTTTCCTCTCTAATGACTTGTACTACATGCACAATCGGGCAGTTCATTATTGCCAGGGGACTTCAGGCTGGATTTCTGGATGCTGACAGGTCTGCTCACAGCATACAGCATACTTCTTGTGGATGATTTTGGAGGTATGGGTAGAGCTGCCAGCAGGGAGGTGACATTGATCCCTGTGGAGATGGCCCACAAAAAGCCAGCGAGGTACTGCAGTTCAGCACGAGCCCTACTCTGAAAAGCAGTGTGGTACCAAGGCTGCCTACATCGCTTTTGCCAGCAGTCGACTGGCTCTGAGGAGCTCGGAGTTCAGTGGGATTTCAGGTGTACAATTTTGTCCAATGTTGTTTACGGCTCCTTACTGTCATGTTGGGGCTTCTGGGGCAGGAATGAAGCAGCTGTGGATACACATCACTCTTTGTAAGCCCTTGTTTCCACATCCAGCTGGCCATCTTGGGCCAGAAGATGTAGGCCTGAGAGTTTTCTTGGTAGTTGTATTAGTTCTGTGAATAAAATCCTGTAATCGCCCTCACGTTTGGGAGACGCGGGTAATCAATGATTAACTAAATATGCTTGAAATAACTTTCTGTTGTAAATAATGAAAGTCCAAACCATTTTGTTAAAGCTCGCTTCTCCAAATAACACAGACTAAAAATAGCTGGTAATTGGAAAGGCAATGCTAGGCTTAGCTTAGGCTCACGGAGAGCTAGCAGTTTCCTGGAGTTGGCAGTAGAAATTATAGGGGAGATCATAGACCCTGCACAGATCCGTACATGTGATTGATTTTAAAGACAGCAAACAGTTGGCAAAGGTGGAATAAAAAAAGAAATGTGTGATGTAGAGCTCTCCCGAATTTGGGAAAAAATTGTTAAGAACAACACCGCCAAAACTGATGAGGGTGTTCAGTGGCCAGAAGAGCGGTTCCTGTCCGTGGGGAGCCCACAAGCACACTCAGTGCGGGTCTGGGGCTCGGGGTGCTGAAGCTGAGGCCAAGTGGGAGATCAGTAATTACCTGTGTGTGCACCAGCAGAAGTCCAAGTTACCTGTCTCCAGTGTGAGCTGCCTGATGAAACTAGTGCCCGGGGCAGGGCAGCGCTGGGCGGGATGTCTGGGGACAGCCGCTGCCACCCTGGTGCCGGCAGGTTCTCCTCAGACAAGGAAGGCACTGCTTAACTAATGCAGGGTCATAATAATAGGAAAGGAGAGGAAAAAAAAGCGGCTGTGAAAACAGATGGATGAAGAAGCTCTGCTTCTTTTATTGTTCATAGTCTGTAAACAGCAAGCTGTCATTTTAAAAGAAAAGAATAAAGTCATTTGGCCTTTTAGGTTGTGAAGATGCAGCTGTCACATAAACATATGTCCTGCTGCCCTCCTAGCCCTTGTCTGCAGAAAATTGTTCCCATCCAAACACTAAAGAGACAGAGGCAGAACTTGTCTTATTATCATCCTGTGCACTTCAGTGAAAGGTGCATTTAGGAACCTAAGTAATTAGTAAATGGCATCAGCTCCCTTTCTTTGAAATGGAAAAAAAAAAAAAAACAAGCTGCATTAAAGGACTGAAAATTCAGAGTGATGCTAAAGCAGGCTCGTGGCATGTAGATGTGAGTGTCTGTGTGTGCTGCTGACAAAGACTGCTTACCCGGCTTCTCAGCACCACTTATGTCTTCTTCAGAGTCTTCAGCTCATCCTAACAGTAGGTCCAGGTCTGCCCTGCAGGAACAAGCCACCAGCACTTCCAAACACAGTCTTCATCTGCTGTGTGTCCATGGTACATGCACTCAAAAATTTAGGGTTCAGCCTTGAGTACAGGCACATTACAATCATGTTTTGTTCATATTAAAGTAAGTTGCAGATAACTAACCTATATAACTATGTTACAGTAAGCATACAGATAGCTGTAATGTGCAGGCAGCTTTCTGGATGTGAAGCAAGTTGGAAAAATGAAGGTCGGATCAAGAGACGTAGGTTGTATCCACGCAGGTGGAAATGAAATTGTTTTCTAATTCCAGGATTTCAGTTAAAATATGCTTGCATTGTTCACTTACTGCTTGAAAATAAAATGTCTGAGATTCCATAACCTGTCAGTGCCGTAGAGTCAAAGTAGCAGTGATACTGGGACCTTAATTTGCATTATTCCTGTGACTTAACCCATAATACAAAGCAGGTGTCTTGTTCCAGATATGTGGGATCTTGGGTCATCATTGAGATGGTTGTAGGCATGAGGTCTTGTAAAACTTCTGTGATATAATAAAATGGGATTTATGTATCCAAATGCTTGAAAGAACATACGGATACAATCAGGAGACTGAAATTTGGGGAAAATTTTTTATTATCCCTTTATCATTATTTATCGCATAATGGCTTTAAGCCATCTGGATGGATTATTTATTCCTGTTTTGCCATTGGCTAAACAGAAGCATCTTTACTGTGAAGAGGTAAACACCTTGTCTGAATCAAGAGGAGTTTTTCAGAAAACAGATGTGATTATGGGAAAATGGTTTTTACTGTTTTGAGATAAAAATGTGTTCTGTTTATTGGCAAAAAGAGTTCAGACAGACAATTTTCAATACCAATCAAAGAAAAATACAGTAAACGGAAAGAGATCTCATTTTTTGTGAGACACCAAAGAGGTGAGCAGTGGGTTGATCAATGAGGTGGTCAATGGGAATCAAAGGAATAATCAGCCTAATCAGGATTATGGGCTGAGCTCCCTTCTTCAGACTTGGCATCCCTGGTAGCTGGACGCCTGGTGTCTGTGCAGGTTTCTTTTATGTTTTCCTTCTCAGAAGACACAATTTGAAATAAATTTCTGAAGTCCAGATGTCTTGTTCCTCTGGCGATTGATTACCCTTGCTTTTGGCAGTGCCAGATCACTGTCTTCTAATAACTGCGATTAGCTCTGCTAAATACAGCAATTAGTAGATGTAAATGCAAACAGAACACACTGCATCCTGTCTGCTCAAATTAGCCTGTGGGAGGGTAATGTGCAGGAATATGCACGTGCTCAAATGAGATCGGTTACAGCATCATTGACGAGATTTCATTTTTTGTTTTCTCACCTTTTTTTCTCTCAGCATTGACGAGTTTCTCCAGCTTTTTGTTGCCCTTTGAAGCTAGCAGAACTCAATAGATACACAAGAAAATTGTCCACAACACAATGTGTGCAAGTGCCTACCGACTCTTAGACAGCAAAAAAACAAAAATGCTATCTTGGTATTTATTATATTTATTTTATTTTTCATTACTGATTTTCCAGGTCATCTTTACTCAGATTGCAAAGTACATCAGATCTGTCTTCTGATTCCCAGCATTATTTGCTGAGGCTGTGCTCTGAAAATAAAGCTGTGTTTTTCCCGCTTCATATAACATCACTAGTAATAAAGATTTTTTGATTTCCAGAATAGCTTGCATTTCAGGCTGGTTCTACACGAGGCAGAGATGAACGTGGAGCGAAGTTGTACAGCCGTGTTGATGTTGCAGTGTCAACAGCTGCACAGGGTGTGTAGAGGAGCTCTTTTTGAGGGAGGAGAGAGGTCAGTGCCCCAAAGAGACGCCTCCAGTTTGCTGGGACAAACAATAACTCGGTGCCTCACTGAGGGCTGTGTGGCTGCGAAAGAACATTTGTGAGGCTGATTTTTGCGAGGAGGGCATGAAAAGAGGTCAGAGGAAATTGGTCTTGTGTTCCCCAGCGTGTGGGTCCTGCACTTTTCCAGTCCTGTACGCAATGTGAGTGTGGGGAAGCAGCACGCTGGGACTGCCCGTTCCTGCTGGAGCTGAGGAGGGCCTGCTGCAGGGGGAGCAGCTTCCCTCTATGCAAGAGCAAATTCAGACTTCACGGTCTTCATCTTCCTGCTTGAGGCTGGAACAAGGTGCTCAGCAGTGCACTTGCACCATGTTGTTCCCAGGGCCCAGACAGTATCCATATTAATGTAGTATTGTTCCATACGGTAATTTCTGCGGTATTCATTACACCTGAGACATGTACAGGAGCATGTAAAGGCATAAAGTGCTAAGAAAACCCAGCAGCAGATTCCTGCCTGACAAAGTCAGGTTTTTATCCAAAGTAACACGCTAAGATGGCAATGGTGCATTGGACGGAAGCAATCCGTGCTAGTAAGCAATGCAGGATGGGGAATTTGGGATACCAGAAAGGATTTATTTTCAGTGGAGATGGCCCGAGAAGGCTGCTGAATTTGAGCTTTTAGTTAAGCCAAATAATACAGTGTTGCTGTTCAGATCCAAGCTCCTGTTTACACAGATCTGCGAACTCTGAGGTGGATTGCACAAAAGCGTTGGGTTTTATCCCAGCTCTGCAATGAAAAACTGCAGTGGTCGGGGTTGTGTTTGAATGGCTCATTTGGCAGAACTAGCCATACAACATGCTGTTTTGCTTCACATACATATCAGAGAGCTGAAATATTCAAATGACTGTTTAGGTGTCTGTTTGCCATGTGTTTAAATAAATACCCAATTTGCAGTAATGGTGCATGAAAATTAGATGTACAGATGCATGTGCTTTTGACCCAAAGCTTGTCTGCCTATTATAGACCAGGTCATTTAGCTGGTAAATTCTATTAGTTAATCAGGCAGTTATGCAGGACCCATCACTCACACTGAGTGTGGAAACACGTGTCACTCTAACTTCCCAACAGCTAGAGAAGCAGCTGCATGCGAGTCCATTAGGACGGAGTATTTTCTGCAACTCAAACTGTTGGTGGTATTTTCAGAGATGAAGTATTATAAAAATGCTTATTTGTTTTCGTACCTTTATATTAGGAATGTGTGTTTGTAGCAGATGGACAAATTACACACCTTGATGTTTTCCTTTTTCTATTTTTTTTTATTTTCAGGAAACAAAAATCAACTGTGTCCGGCTGGCAACAAAAGGTACGTGGGTCTCTTTTTTTTCTGCAAAGCACAATGCCAGCAATATAAAAGCTGCAGTGGTGACACGACTTGATTACAGTTACTATTCATGGAGGAAGCCTATTATTATTATTATTATCGTTATTTATTATTATCGTTATTTTATTTTTGAAGGAAGATACTGAAGACCGAATATGTTTCCAGAGCCACTTCACTATATGTGTAAACCCTGTTATTTCTGAAGACAGGGTATCTCTCTCTGTCTCTCCGTGGTTCCTCCTTTCCCTTGTTCTATCGACAGCTTTCCTGCCCTGAGGACCATTCTTGCTATTGGCAGAATGTGACTGAAAAAGCTTCCGATTAATTTCGTTTTCTCCGTAACTGCATAAAGTAGATAAGTAAAAGAAGATCTCACGTAAGCCTGACTTTTAATAGGTTTTGAAAATCCTGACCTTGAACACAGCAGGGCACAATTCTTATATCACACCATTTTCATGGTATAATTCAGCGAACTCATAGAGCACATTTCTTATTTTCGTTGCATTACGTTCAGAATAGACCTAGCGTTATCACTGAGCAAACCAGATACAAATGATTTGGCAAAATGTTGTTAAGATGCAATGCTTTGATCCCCAGGCTGCTTCATAAGGTGTAGCTCTTGGGGGACCAATGATGACAATGTCTGGGTTACTTCTTGGAGTTTAGAGATGCTTTTAACAACTCTTCTAAGGACTTCAAAATCACCCCAGGGAACACTTTGCCAGCAAAGGTGTCGGTAAGGCAATTTACTTGTAACACAAACAGAGTAGCTGTAAAAAGACTTCCTCAACACATATCAAGTCTCAAAATGAGTTGTAAGGAAATTATAGGATAATTACCATGGGCCATGCTAGAGGGAGCTCTCCATTTCCCAAACTTGGGAATGTATCTTGTGCTCTCACTTTGTTGTAATGCGGAAGAACCATTACTGCCTGGGGAGTATTTCTAGAGTAAAAAATAAATAAAAATGGACAGGAACCCATGGCCCTTTTCCCTAGGAGGCACTACCCTATTTCACCCTCCACCCTTCATTCTTCTCACTCCTGCCTCGTTGCAATAACAGGAGTCAATTTTAGGTAATTTCCCCCGTTGATTTCTACTTCAGCACTTACTGAGGAGTTGGGAGGGATTAAAGGAGCCCCAGCTAACAGCTGCTGGGTAGCAACAGGGCATTTTCTGTCTTGATGTGGAGCCACTGCCCAGTAGTGCACTCCTGAAGGCAGCACATTGGGGTGCAGGCACTGCGTGGGGTTCCCACCTGCGCAGCTGCAGTCGGTGCTCAGACCTGCTCTGCAGCCGGGGAGGGCTGTAAGCGGTGTCACCACTGAAAGCTAAGGAGAATGAGCAATTTCTGCCCTCTCTCCCTTTCATTTATGGCTCTGGGGTCCCTCTATCCTCTTGTTGCTTCCTCTTTAGAAGTTCCTCATAGAATTTTCCTTTAATTCATTTCTCTGGGTTACAGACATTCTGTGTGTCTCAGTCTCCTGCCCATTCCCCCTTGGGTTTTCTGGTCTATGGGTAGTGGTGTGACCATTTGGGGTGTCTTCTTTTGGCTTTCTGGTGGTAGAAAGATAAAGAGCAGGAGTGGGTAAAGTCTGGGTAAAAAGAGTCTGCCCAGGGTTTTCCCAGAGCATGCCTGAAGGTCTCTTCGTGAGCTCAGAGAAACTGGATTAATTCATTTTTAGAAACCTTTAACTTCTCCCACTTCAGTGGTTGCTATTTTTGGAGCTGGTGGATGAATATTGTCATCTTAACAGAAAAGATATTCACTTTATGATTATTGTTCAAATTAAAAAACAAAACAAAACAAACAAACAAAAAAAAAAAAACACTACATAGCTTGATAGCTTGAGAAGTTCCATTTTTAAGCCATCTTTTGATTCTCAGTGTCTGATTTGGGTACTTCAAACAAGGCTCACATAAGTGTTTGACCCTGAACTGACTTCTGCTAATGGATTTAATTTTCATTAACCTGTTAGGTCACGAAGAAGAGTCAGCAAGCTACCCTTATTCTATTGTTTCTGAAAGATGGCTCCTTTTAAAAAAAGATCTCTTACTAATATTAATTTGATAAGAAAAATAAGAGAGCTGGGTAGAGCCTGATACCTAGAATTTTTTGGTGATCTTATTCTTTAGCATTTTTCTTGATTGACACGAGTGGGAAAGGACAAAAAAATACAGTAGCTCTAGTGTTTATTACTGTCCTGATGAATGTGGCTTTTGATTTATAGGCACGTCCTGTTTCTTTATATGTGGAGTGTGGAAAATTCTGTAGAAATCTCCACACTCCCTGTCCTTGCTCTGAGTGTGGCAATTTTGTATTTCTTAATGTCTGACCATTAACACGGACACTGGAATGTAGCTGTGGCTAATTTTATGCCAGTTTTGGCTTTCCAAACGTACAGTGCTGGCTGCAGCACTCAAACAACATAGCACCACAGGCAGATTTATAGCCTTAATAATTTAACAACCCATTAACCGTCCTTTGCTGGCAGCTGAACAGTAGCTAAACAATGGTTCTGTGGTTTGTGGATTTTCCATAATTTAAAATTTTTATATGTCATGGGGCTGTATTCCATCCTTGTATCAGCTCTTTATGAACAGAAGGACTCGGCCACTCAGCATCCAAACCCTGTAGAGGGGTTTGTATCTGCCCCATCTCTACGGGGGTGGAGAAACAGGAACTCACAGAGCTATCATTACACCGTGATGTGACCAAAGACTGAGAGTGGGGATGTTCTAGCTGACCTACTCTGTCATGATGTCTTCTGTCTGCTCATTAGGCTGATTATCTTTAATAGCACTGCCCTGTATTTACCTTCATTTGCATTGCTGTCTCTGAGGATGGAACGAGCGACCCTGTGTTCTCCCCTGAACAGAATGATCAGAGCTGCTAGCAAAGATCCCACTGTGGTGTCTTCAGTAAGAGGCAAGAAGAAGAAACTTTTTGGAGTTAGGCTGAAATTAGCTGGGCTAATCTCAGCATTGACAGCTTTAAAGGTCCACTTGGACTTTGTACAAGAGAAAATGAATAGTGGGTTTTTTTGTTTGTTTGTTTTTCAAATAAATGGAAGAAAATAGATGCATACTACAGACTAAAAGTTAATTTCTGGCTACTGGCATAATATTTTCCATTCCTAGAGATTTGACACCCCAGTAGCTCCATTAGTGTTAGTGAAATGGGTTCTGATTCACACCAGTAACAGGAAGATAAGAATCAAGTCACGTTTAAGCGTGGCAAGTATTCTCCTGAAGTGCTGGATTAGCAAGGGCTGGAAACATGAGTGTGGGAGTAATTAAGCAATAAAAAGTGTTAGGCAGTGTGGTACTGGGGGATTGCAACACATCTTGGGTGTTGCTGCAAGGCACCTGCTCAGAAGCTGAGGAGCTTTAATTACTCGAGAAGCGCGTGAGGCTGTTCTGTTGTCGCTACTTCAGCAGGCTGAGAGGCAATTTGCTTTGTATGTCCCATTGCCTCAAGACCAATAAAATGGATTTAGACAACTCTTTCAAAAAACGTTCTAGTCCATTAGAGAGTTTTTGGATGTTTCCCACTTTGTCCTCCTCCTGTTTTGTGTTGCTGAGATGTCATTTTCACCATAGACTGCTTACATCAAGCCCTGCTCAGCCCAGCTTGGCTCCACACAGGAGCTACTTCTCATCTGTCATGGGGTACCCTCTTCTGCAGGTTTTTCCAGTGTGCTGCTCCTTGTTAGATGAACTTGATCCTCCTGGTCCCAAGAAAGATCTCTCACATCTTGGTGTGTTGGCTTCAGTGTCAGGGAGGGTGTCAGCGTTTCAGAGCACGAGGTCGTGGCACCAGTGGTGCACCTGCAGAGCAGAGCTGGTGGGTGCCCAGGCAGGCAGGTGCGTGGATTGAGCTCATGTCCTCCTGTCGGGCATCTCGGTACGAGTGGCTGATGTCAGTGGAAGGGGCCAGTGGCAGAAACTTGTCATCAGCCTTTGCTGTGGTGACATTTGACAGTCCATCAGAAAGCTCCCTGTGTTTGTCCAGTCTGTGTAACCATTTCATGTTTTACCAGTGAGTTTTCAATCCACAAGCAACATTAACCTTTTGTGTCTACGCATGTGTTTAATTTCAGTTTTGTTGGTCTCAGATTTCTGACCACTTCCAACCATAAACATCTCTCCTCAGACAGGCTCCATCTCTTTGTATATTTTGTATATTACTGGAGCAATGTCATCTTTCATAGCATTAGTCACTTGGATGCATATCATTAGCATAAAACACTCTTTAAAAATAAGCTTATAATTAAATTCCAATTTATTAGCTCTCTGCCATACAATTTGCATTCAACCTGTTTGTTTATTAATTTTGCCATTTGGTTTCCTTGATGGCATTTGTTTTAATACGTCCCATTCTTTCTGAAATAACTTACTTGTTCTCTTTGTTTTAAAACAACATATTTATATTGACACTTTATTAGAGAAAATTGCAACCTCTTACCAAAGAGAGCGATTACCTCTTGTATTCTTAAAGTGCATTAAATTACTTTCACAGTGTAATTGAAACCAAGGCAGAGGGCTCATTAATGGTTCCTTATCTCTTGATATTTATTTCTTCTTTTTTTTTTTTAAATTGTTAGTTCTTGCAAATGGGAGAATGGAAATTTAATAACCGTTATGAGATTTTTTTTCCTTTTTTTTTTTTTTTTTCTTGTGAATGCTGCCTGGGAACGGTTTTGCTTGTTCTTAGCAGTAATAGGTAGGGAAGAGGTGACCATGCGAAACCCACCCAGCCTCTTGAGCACAGGTGATTATCAGCTCAGGGAAAGGAAGACTGCCGAAACTTCCTGAAGTCTGAGCAGCTTCCTGACTTCTCGTTTCATATTTTGTTTGCACGGGAAAATGCTTTTAGAATTATTAAATCTGTGCTATAAAGGGAGCTTTCCCTTATGCAGCGCTTCTGCACTGATGTGAATCAGATGACACCTGAGCAGAGGGTCAGCTGGGGACCCAGG